CCCAGTGTGGTTGCTACTACTGCATAAACCGAGTGTGGTGATTCAGCACGCCTGGAATTCCAGGGCTAAGGAGATTGGGAAAGGAAGATCAGGAGTTCAAGGTTATTCTGGTGCCTCCAGGGGAATCTGAGGCCAGTTTTGTATTATAAGAAACCTTGCCTCAACAAGCAAACACAAACCAAAACACACAAATGCAAGGAAGAAAAGAATGTTTATATACTGGCATAAAACATATGAAGCCATTGTCCAAAACCCAAGTCCAGTTTGTTCTCTGAATCTTAAGATAAAATTTCATTTTCCTATGGCTGTTCTCATGGTGAAGGTACCAGCAAGGTAGGCTACCTGATTGTTTTTTTGTTTTTGTCTTATGAACAGGGTTTCTCTGTAAAGTCCTAGCTGTCCTGGTACTCCCTCTGTAGACCAGGCTGGCCTCAAATTCACAGAGATCCACCTGCCTCTGCCTCCTGAGTGCTGGGATTAAAGGTGTGCACCACTACCACCAGCCTGCCTTTTTTTTTTTTTAAACCTTTCCCCTCCCCTGATAATTCTTAATATGAGCTCTCTGGGGACAATAGGCCTGAGACCCTGGAGTCCCACCTAGTCATGTTCTCACTTTGGTACTTTCATAGTTCCTGTGTCAAACCCCCGAAGATGCTCCCACCAGCCTGAGTTCACTCAGAGGAGAGGCACTGAACATGGCTGGGATCCACTTTGTTGGGCCTGACGAACATTTTTTGCTCGTCTCATTCCTCTTGTCTAATGGGAAGGAAGCGTGTGCAGGAAAACCTTGTGGGGCTTGGGCTTCATTTCTCCCCGAGTGATGTTCTTTTGGGGGTCAAAGCTCAGCAAAACACCGTTCCAGAAATCCTCTGATTAAGATTCGCTTAGGGAAGGCTTGAGAAAAGAATGAATCCCAGAACAGCATCCCGCTATGACTCAGCTTTAACCGTGGACATTTTGTTAAGAAGCAGCTGATTTCGTAAGAAACTTTGTTTAAAAATATCTCTCCCGTTCTCCCCAGGAAAGTTACATTGTATAAGCTGAAGGAACAGCCGATATCTGGATGCCTCAGAAAGTCAGAGGAGGGTACTTATCGTAATTGTGTAAGGTCATAAATATTTTTTATAAGCCGATTCGGGGCTATGGGATGGATATACTCTTACATAAAAATTTTGCTTTTGAAAAATACGTTTTGTAATTAAATTACCTCCACTGCTTGAGGATGTCTTCTCTCTAGAACAGTAGCTCTCAGATTTGAGCATGAATTAGAATTATGGGGAGGGCTTGTTAGGTCCTAAACTGTTGGTTTTTGATGACACCGTGAGAAGTACTGATTTAGAAGATTATAAATTATTGAGAACATGACTGCACATTAAAAAGTCCTTGGCAGAGCTCTAAAATAATACTCTATGCTTGACCACCCAGATCAGCTGAAGCATAGCGTTATGGGGGGGGGGGGCTGTGTTTAGAATGTTCCAGAAGTAACCCGGAATATTCTGATCTGTAGCCAGAACCGGCAGTCTTTGTTCTGGATAAAATTTGATAATCTAACTGCCTTCAAAAGTCATGCTATGGAATCAGCAGGCAGATGATGCCCGGAAGAGTTAGCAATCCCCAACGTGGCTGGTGGGCTGTGCACCGGCTCTGGGTGCTTGTTGGGCATAGACGTCAGCCGGCCCACTTTGCAGTGTGACTTCCTGCAAGGTCAGTGAGAAGCAGCTTCTTGAGGGAGTTTGTGGGCTGCGCTATCAGCAAGGTTGCAAAAGGCTCCCAGGGAGTTTTCCGCTGCCGGATAACGAAAACGAGTGGGGTGGCCTGAGGTGGGGACGAACAGGGTGTGGTCTGCCCAGTGATAGGCAAACCGGCCAAGTTGGAGGACAATGAGCCCTTCAGGGCTTTAGAAGAAAAACAGGAGATAAGGATTTGTTACTTTCTCCACCATTTTCTCATTTGGGCCCCCAGCAGCCACAGCTCAAAGATGACAGAATGATCCATGTGCGAACTAACGAATAAAGCTCAATGCAGTTGGGGGAATTTTTAAATTTATAGGTCAAGGCTGGGGCAGGGATCGCCTTTGAACCTGGCACTGTTAGGTGCCATAAGAACCACGGTTGTGTTATAGAGTTGGTTATAAGTCTCAGTCTCTGTGCAAAGGGAAAACATGGGGTCTCTTGCTCAGAAATTATCAAGAATTCAAAATAGCTCCAGCAGACCGTTAGCCCTGGCCAGGGGCCCTGCACAGAGACAATATGCCTAGGAGCACAGGCCCACTGCCGGGTTTTAGCCCCACCAAACATTCAGATCAAATAACGTTTCTCATGGGGCTGGAGAGATGGCTCAGTGGTTAAGAGCACTGACTGTTCTTCCAGAGGTCCTGAGTTCAATTCCCAGCAACCACATGGTGGCTCACAACCATCTGTAAAGAGGTCACCAGAATATTGTATATAATAAAAAAAAAAAGAACGTTTCTCAGAGAGTGGTGGTGGGGAAGATAAGAGCCCAGAACTGAAGTGTGGGCACTGGGTCAGGAGTCCACTCTCCTGCTAACTTTGGTGCTATCTGACGTTTGGAGTTTTTATTTACTTCTGCATCACACCAAGAAGGACAGAGGTGGTGACAGACTGTATGTTTAGCATAGTGGCTGTGGTGGAGGTCTCTAAGAAGCTCAGGGTTTGTTTGGGGTGCTAGGGATCAACCCAAGATTCTTGTATTTTCTAGGCAAGCATTCTACCACCAAGCCGTGTCCTGGCCCGGATGAAGGACTCTGCAACCATCCTCCTAGAGTTCTGACCTTGGCTCTGCTAGATTTTGGTTATGTGTCTGTAAGCAGGAGCCACCATTTCTTCAACTATGCAGTGGAGAGTGCCATGAGGACTGAAAGGCGAGGCAATCGTGGTGATGCATAGACTGATAAAAACGGGGTAATTTAAGATAGAAGAGCTGGCGAGGAAGACGCCTAAGCTATTGGCTGAACAGTGTTGTATTAAAAAACAAAAACAAAAACAACCCCCCCCCCAAAACAACAACAAAAAAATAAAAGTGAGGCAAATCTCTCACAATAACTTGTAAATAGTGCTATATTTGTTGTTGGTAATTTTTTTCTATGAATCATAGGTTTGTATATAAGAATCAATGTTTTTTTTCTTTACTATGTTTTATTTTTTAAATTAAGAAAAAAAATCATCTATAGCTTTTTTCCAAGCAAAAGCATTTGTGAAATCACAGGATTCCCACATTGGGGTTTATTCATTTTTAAATGTGAAAGAGTAGGACCATAAAGCATTATAGAAAGCTCACATAAATAGTCCCTGAAGCTATCTGTGCCTTGACTCATGGGGTGGGCACCTGGCTGTGGCCCTGACCCTGCTCTGGATGCAGAAGCCCTTCTAGCTTTCCTGTCCAATGAACCTGTCTACATGTATTGCTATCTATGCCCCATTCACTTGTCAACCACATAACTAAAATCCTTTTCCCTCTTCCATCACTTCTGTCCGGAGCAGTCTCCCTTGGAAACGTGGTAAAGAGAGATGCGATCTTGTTAATAAATGGGGAAAATCTTGATGAGTCAGTGGGGTTCTCTCAAGAAAACCCACTAAAGCTTAACAAAGAAATAAGCTATAGAAAGGCCAGGAAAGAATGTTTCGGGAAGACACACTGTGGCTCGGAGAATGGGACTCTCTGGGAGAAACTTGCCCTTCCTTTTGGTTGCCGCTTTTCCCACCTCCTTTTCCTGAAGTCTTCCCGTCAGGCCCCACACATGCCCTATTTCCTCCAAGTGCTTTCTGGCCATTCTCACTTTTTTCTCTCTGGAAAAGTACTTCACAGTCGTTTAAGAAACATTCCTTGAGCTCGTCCCACAGGCTCTTTGTTCTAGGCGCACGTTGGACGCCCGCGTGCCCTGGCCTCAAGTAGCAAACAGGCTGCTAGTCAATGCGAGTGTCTCTCGTCAACCTGATGAACTGACCCTTGGTTGTTTGTCCTCTTGCTTTAGGCAGGAAATGCCAAGAGTATGACTCTCCTGCTCCGCAAAGCTCTGGAGGAGACCCCCTGGGCCACCACAGACTTAACTACAGTGACAAATGAACCTTAAAATTTGCTGAGGTGCCCCTCTCAAGTCATACTGACCCATGCCCAGCTGCCACATAACACTGGGAATAGTCAGATACGACCAACATGGAACCAAAGTGCAATTCAATTGACCACAAAGTCAGATTAGAATTCTTGTGAAAGGATGGGGCTTCTCCAAGTCAGTGGAGGTGAGTTTGAGAGCAGTGGGGGTTTATACCAGGAGAGGTGTAGGCAGAGGCTCTAGCAGAGTTAGCTCGCTCATCAAGGACGGATGAAGGTCAGCAAGGATGAAGGTGCAGTGGGCACCTCCCACTGACATTTCATAGGGTAACACGAGGGCCTCGGGGAAAAATCTTGAATATGTACAAAAGCCAGATGATCTGAGAGATGTGAAGTGGTGTCATGATAAAACTGTGTCTGAAAAACAATGTCCCAATCCACATGTGGTTCAGGCTCTGTTTCTTTAAAAAAAAATTAGACTGTGACTGACTAGTTTAATTTGGCCAAATTAAGAACAATGAATTCTTTTATAATTTATCATAATTTTTAGTGTCTAAGAGGATTCCAGCCAACCTCCCCTCACACCCCATCATATTTCCCTCTGGTACTTTTACTCCTTAAAAAAAAATGGGTATTCATTTTAACCAACCCTTTTCTGGTACTACTTATGCTCACACAAGAACTTTCAATAGTTAGGTATTGAATGAAGTCATGGATTGATAAGCATTATTCTTCTAGAACCAGTGACCAAGAGCGTATCAGGCAGAATAGGGGCAACTGGCTTTATTGACCAATGAAGAAAGCATGGGTCTATAGAACCAACCAGATTTCTCTCAGAATAGAGGTGTCCCATCCAGTTAGGATAATGTTGGGATAAGCCTGTTCAAGACCTTATAAAGGGGATGCCCAAGGCTCCGGAGGACATTGCTTACCCACAAAGCACCAGACCGCAAACCGGATCCATGTGATGGTGGAGAGCTTTAGCATGAGATAGATATTCACCAGCATGGCGAAGGCAGGCACAAAGGGCAGGCAGGGGGCCATGTACGGCAGCTTCTTGGGGTTTTCTGGCTGCTGCAGGATTACAAACACCAGCGCACTGATCAGCAGCACCATTAGAACAACCAGAAGGATGGCCCACCAGCTCCGGCCCGAGATGTAGTTGGAGCCAAAGATGATGAATGAGCAGAAGATGAACATGAGGATGAAGAGCAGGAGTACACAGATGGTCACCGTGTGCCCTGTTGCTGCTGTGGGCCGGTCCATTTTGCCTGGAAGGCCCAGCCGGATTCTCATCGTGTAGTATCGGGGTCCAATCAGCTTCTTCAGCTTGATGAGATAGATGTTTTCTGACTCATCGGCTTCTATGCCCGTGGTCATGTCCACAGTGCCGTAGTTGGGGTGGCTTACGTTGTAGGTGGACTTATCTGATTTCCCTATGAGCATCTCATTGTCCCCCAAAGATGGCAGGTTCTTGGCCCCACAGGTGTTGGTGGCAGTGCTGGAGAACTCCTCCCCTTCACTCACAGGGGAGCAGGTTTCCTTCTCACAGTCAGCCAGGATGCCTTCCTTCTTCTTGGTGTGCTCCTCAGACAGGAACTTGACAAAACCATCGATATCACTCTCGGGTTGGTATCGTAGGAGCAAGACACAGACAGAGACCAAGGTGTAGGCGAGGAGTGTGCCAATGGACATCATCTCTATCAGGTCCCTCAGACTGACCAGCAGTGAGAGGAGAGCGGCCAGGAACCCTGACACAATGCAAGCTACCACTGGCGTCTCTGTGTAGGAGCTCACGTGAGCCAGGAACCTGGGTGGAGGAGGCAAACAGAGGGTTAGGAGTCACACTGCCCATGGAGGAATCTCATTGCCCATGGTGACTGATTCCAACACACCAGTATTTTTGAGCTGCAATGCCAACAGCTTGGTGTGGTTGGCTCTTTCTGGCTCTGCCCTTCCGGTTAACTTATCTACTGCCCCGCTCCCAACATTTGGCTCTTGGGATATCATTAGAGAATTCACTTTAATTCCTTGATTTGAAGCCTTAAAAAACCCCAAACCCAGGAGTCCTATTCACTATGTGACAGGAAGGTTGATTGATTCTTGGGGCCCTGTCACAAATCCACACGGAAGCCCATGGAAGCTGGGGACCTGTCAATCTGTAGCATGACCACTGCTTGCTGGGAAGGAATATTCTCACCAGCCCTACTACCTCAGAGTTTTTGGAGGTGATGTCCAGTCAACTATACTTTAAAAGACACCCCAAGTTTTCAAACCTGAGACACAGTGCCCTGCAACAAGAGTTCAGGGATCGAGTTGGTAAAACAGTATGCCAGTTAAGATGCTCATAGACAGGCCCAAGAGTGGTTAGAATATGGTCCCTTCTGCTACAGGCCCTGGGAGCCTTAAAGAGGCTCCTCTGCCCCCTCTCTCCTGGCCCTGTCTCCTCTTATCCTCCATTATTTCTCCCCTACGGACCACATGGAACCGTTGAATGTGCCAGGCCCACAGCATCGCTCCTCTTAATTTTTTTGTTTTTGTTTTTTATGGCAAGGAAAGCTTATGGGTGTGTGAGGCCGTCAGCTGTCACACCATTACCCATCAGTCCCTCTCTCCATCTACCCAGCATCCCAATTCAGCTGCTCCAACCTGCTGTGAACTCAGGGAACGGGCAGAGGAAACAGATCTGGAAGTGAAAGCTGGTGGCAGCAATAAAGCCCCTGAGCGTGTTCTCTTGACACCTCTGAGATCTGCTTCACCTCCCACAGTGGGGCAAATCCCATTTTCTCAGTGAAAGACAGACCACTTCATGGCTACTGAAAATGCTGAAACTTTCAAAGCTTGCTACTCGGAAGAGTCTGAGGGTCAGACCTGGAGGGATGACTCGGCTGTGAAGACTCTGGCTGCTCTGGCATTGGACCTTGGCTCAGTTCTCAGCACCCACATGGCGGCTCACAGCCATCGCTAACTCCAGTTCCGGGGGATCTGACACCCCCTTCTGGCCTTTTGGAGCACTACACACTACTTGGTGCACAGAAACAAGCTGACCAAACACCCACACAATTAAACAATGGAAGTCTGAGTTTCAGGCCAGATAGTTCTGGTTTCAAGTTCTGGTCCACCACTCATCAGCTTCAAGGTTTGGATCAAGACTTTCCCATCTCTTTAATTGCTGGCATACTCATCTGCCAAACAGTGTCTGAGCGACAAGGGGACACAGTACACAGAGCTCCCAGCTGCTGTAACTGTCCCACAAATGACTGTTACTGTAACAATTGCCATGTTATCATTAGAGGATTTTATCTCCTCTCTGACTTTTGAATGTTTTCAGCTTCATGGGGCCCTGGGAAAGAAACCTGGTCTCACTAGGAGGCAGGCCAAAAGGCCTCTGGGTTAGGTCTCACTAGGAGGCAGGCCAAGAGGTCCCTGGGTTTGTTCTCACTAGGAGGCAGGCCAAAAGGCCTCTGGGTTCTTCCTTTTGAAAGTGATGTCACATTCTATGCAGTGATTTTTGACCCACTGCCCTGACAAGGAAATGTATGTCACAGGAGGGAGACACGCACACATCCCCTGGTTCTGGACTGAGGGACCAAGAGTCAACTACAGGCCATTTCAGAGTCTGAGCTCTTTAAACCCAGACTTTGAGAAGCTTAGGAAAGGTAGCCATGAAGCTGAGTGTCAGTGGGTGACAGCCTCCTGGATAGGAAGAGAAGAGAGGGAATCATTTCTGGGGGACCCCTTACCTGAAAAGCAGCCCATCACCAGCCATGGCATAAATGACTCTGGGCATGGGGAACAGGGAGCCCAGCAGGCTGACTGTCAGTCCTGCCACTGATCCAATAGCCACTACAAACTTTGCGGCATAGAAGCCATGGACCACAAACATCTCCATGAGAGGGGACTCCGTGTCGATGGCGTAATATGGTACCATTAGCGTTAAGATCATGCTCACCTGTCAAGACAAAAGAAGACAGACTGGAAGCAGGGGAGACGGACAGCATGGGTGGGTGACCCCGAGCTGGAGACAGAGACTTTTGTGGTAGCTTGGAGCCATTAACTGGCATATGACTTTTGTTTAGATCATTTGGTCTCCACGTTTTTTCCCCCACTTTTGATTTTGGTGGTTGGGACCAAATGATTTTTAAAATGTCTTTGTGGCCTTTTCCTATGTGAGGATAAACCCACAGCTGTTTCAAGCCTCACAGAAACAGATCTACCCCGAGACATCTCCTGATGGAAGGAGCTGTAGCCAGGGTCGCAAGTGCCCCACCCTAAAGGATGAAGCTCTCACTCCTTCTTCCTCTTCTATTTTATAATTGTGTGTTTTTCAATATTTGTGTGTGTGCAAGCATGTGTGTGTTTGAATGTGTGTTCATGTATATTTGTGCATGTGTGTGTCGGTGTGCATGTGTGTGACTCTGTGTGTGTGCCTGTATGTACATATGTGTGTATATGTGTGTTTGAATGTGTGTCTGTGTGTGTGCCTGTATGTACATATGCATGTGTGTGTGTCTGTCTCTGTGTGTGTGCCTGTATGTATATTTGCGTGTGTGTGTTTGAATGTGTGTTCACGTATTTTGTGCATGAGTGTGTCTGTGTGCCTGTGTGTGTGTGTCTGTCTGTGTGTGTGCCTGTATGTACATATGCGTGTGTGTGTGTGTGCGTGTGTTTGTAGGCTGAAGCACATCTTAGGGCAGCTCGATTCTCTTCTGTCACGTGGTTTATGGGGATTCATCTCAGGTTGTCTGCTTCGCAGCAAGCGCCTTTATCCACTGGGCTATGTCACCAGGACAAGGCTTTTACTTCTTTCGTTTCTTTAGGACACTCCTGGTTCTGATCTGTCCTCCTTCTCACTCCAAGCCTCAGAGGTCCAAACACTGAAAGTGTTTGAGGTTTCCACAGACAATGAGGACTCATATTTCATTTCTTCTCTCTGGTTTAGTGCTGAGGGTCATGCAGGCCAACAGAGAACTGTGCATTCAAGATGGATCCCATCATGCTTTGCGAAGCCACCGTGTCTCTACTTAACCAAGGTACACTTGTCTGGGGACTCCTGTAGGGGTCCTTTCTATGTTAAAGATCTGTCAAAAATTGATTTTTTAAGCACTGGCCCTAAAAAATGGAACCAGTAGTCACATGTGACTTCTGGCATGTAAAAACACCCCTGATACCAAGAAGGGAATTAAATGGGGAGGGAGGTCACATCAGACCACTTCCTTGCCTGATCGTTGGGAGTCAAGGCTCCCATGGAAGCTATGTGTCACCAGAGAAGGCAGCAGAATACGGTGCAGCAGGCCAGCCCCTTGGTGGAGCAGTGACTGTTTCCTGACCAGTAAAAGGCCAAGTGGCCCCCGAGGCAGGCTAAGGCCTGTGTAGTCTGAGAGACAGTGGCCCTCCAGGGGGTATCACTTGTCACAGCACTGTTGAGGATGCAGTAGAGAGGCTGGAGGAGTGTGCTCGAGTCTCACAGCAAACCTCAGAGCCTTCCAGCCACACGGACCAGTACGGGTTACACAAGAGGATTCTGTAATCTAGAAAGTGCTACTGAAGGAAAGAGCCACAATGGTGAACTTACTGTGTGTGCACGCTGCCAGGGTCTACTTCTACAGGAGGGGTGGGATGATGAAAACGTGGAAGGAGACAAACAGGGCAGAGGAGGACTCTTGCTCCTGCCCTGCTACGTCTCCCACAACATAGGATAATCAGGGTCTGGATAGAATATGACACCACTTGAGTGTGTGTTCACAGAGGGAGGCGATAATTGGCCCATTCACAAACTGTCTGGGTGGGCAACTGAATTTCTATCAATGGACAGTCTGGTTTTGCATCTTGCTTTATCATTTGGTCAATAATCCTTAAGTAATGGCTAAAGATGTTTTTTTTTTTTTTGAGTGATGAGAGTTGGCCAGTCTGATAGAGCGTACCCCATCCTGAGTTTTTCCTAATTTCCCTGACTTTGCTCATTGGACACGTATGTTTCATCAGATTAGCATATTGGAATCTGTGGGGGTGGCATCCACCCTGGACACTTCCTTTTTCCTGAATGTGGTGACCCAGATAGACTTTCAGAATCAGGGAGTGTCCGTGTCCCGGTGGCTGGTCAGGTGGTTCTAGGGGACAAGAAGATGTTGGATGAGGCTAACAATTTCTGTGAGAGAAATTCTGCCGTGGGGACTGAGAAGTGTGTGTGTGTGTGAGCTTATTCCTGCATCCTGAGGAGATTAGGCTGGAGGCTTCGCTCTGAGGGAAACCCCTAGGGTGAGCTTGAGTTGGTGTTGGGAGACCAAGCTGAACAGAATTGCACTTCTCTCCGGATTTCAGGGCGAGGGTGTCTCCCAAGGACAGCGTGTTCTCTCACTCCCTCTGTGGGAGCCTTGCTTCTCCACTGCCGGGAAGCTCCCAGAAGACAGAAGCACATTGAGGGCTGTGCACTGAAGCCACCCGTTACTGCCAGCCTATGACCTGAGTTGCTTGGCCGACAGCCCACTCCTTGCACACTGTCCCTAGGCATAGGAAAGGGTGGGGACGGAGACGTGAGAGGCACAGGCTGAGGTGAGGGCCGGTGGATTTTCTCTCCCGAGTTTCTTTTTCTCATTGATAGAGCAACAGGGGACCCAAGGGAACGGTGTGCATGCACCAACACGGAGTGAGGAGAAGTCCATGTCCTGAGAGAGGAGGCGTCGGTCCCACAGTCACATTTGTTGCTGTTGTGAGTGTGTATATGTATGTGTAAGTGTGAATGTGAGCATGCGTGTGCATGTGCCGATGTGTACAGGCGTGTGTGCGGAGGACAACCTTAAATACTCGTCAGGTGCTGTCCACCGTGTTTTTAGACAGGGTCTCCCATGGAGCTGGCTGTCAGTGAGCCCAGGCATCGGTCTGCTTCCCCAGTGCTGGGATTATGAGCACAAACAATCGTGCCTGACTTTGGGCTCCATGCGAGTTCTCAGGATTGATCTCCTGTCCATGCACTTACACCATGATACTGAACCTCTTAGCCCTAGAGCCAGCCATCTGTCACAATAAAGTGCAAAGGTCATGCACGGGTCCCGTCTGCACGTGGTACTTACAGTCACATACGCTGTCAGGCAGATGACCAGGGACGCGGTGATAGCGTACGGGATGGATGTGTTGGGGTTCTTGGCTTCTTCCCCAGTGGTGGCAATGATGTCAAAGCCAATGAAAGCATAGAAACACGTGGCTGCTCCTTGCAGCACCTGTAAAGACGAAGACATCTGTCAGGCTCAGATGAGGGCAGAACCATGGCTTAAACATGGTGCCCAGGACAGCCCGGTGCTCTGTAGACACTCCTGAATGGCACAGGGGAGCTGTGCCATTTAGGAGGAAGCAGCCAAGTTCTGCTCTACCGGACTCTGCTGTATGACTCTGGGCATTTCCTCATGTGATAAAAACGGATGAGAATTTTATGGCTAAAAAAGAAGTGGGTTAGTCAACGTAAAATTCTTTTTGAAAGAAAAAAATAGTATGTTTGTTATCTATTTTTTTTGTGTGGGGGGCATCGAACCTAGCGTCTCATGCGTGCTAGTGAAGGTTCTCCACCCCTGAGCTACCCTCTCAGGCCTCCTCCCTGAGCTACCTTCTCAGGCCTCCTCCTCGGTGCTGCCTGCATATTTTGCACTTTACGTTTTATTTTCACCTGTCAGCACTCAACCACAATGTAAGAGACTTTTGGAAATGCGGAAAGGTGTTTTTTTTTTTTTCCAACCAGGGATGCAGTGGATGTGAGCTGCTGGCCATTTGTGGGTGAGATGCATGAACTTCTGAACAAAGTATTATTCTGCCCCAATAGGTCACCTCTGTGGTGGTGTCTAGATTGGGGGCCATGAGGCTTGGATTTCTAGTGCCTTTAAAGGAAAGATGAGGAGATGAGATTGTTTGACTCTCTGCTTCTTTGGGTATGAGGCAGGCAGTTGGACAAAGTGCCCGGGGGAATCCCATTCAACCAGAAACTTTGCTCGTGTCTGTCGGCAGGATTTTAGGTGACTCCATGGGTGGTCAAGCCTTCAGTTAAGATGTCACTGATACCCTGCAATTGAGGATCACATGGCTTTCTTTTAAGTGGGTTTTCCTAGCCTTGGTAGTCTCACTATCTACTGAAAATGAAAACATGCCTCTTTAAATAGTTGGGGTGCCCTTGCAGAAGATGGATGGTGTGTTTCGGATGAAGACACAGCTTCAAGCTCAGAGAGGGGTGCAGGAGGATAGAGCGTGTGTAGAGTGGACCATCTGTCCCCCTCCACACGTGTGGTTTGTAAAGGAAGTGGCAAATGGATTCTAGCCCAAAGTGTTAACTTCTGCACAGACTTCCTCATAAGCACAAATCAAAATCCTAGATGCCGGAAGCAGGACAACGCATCGCAGATGTGAATAGCTTCTCAAGCAGTCTGGAGTCGTGTTGGCCATGGGGAAAGCAAGGCAGTTTCCTTTGGAGGCTCTCAGCTGTCATGGTCAGGTTCCAGTCTTCCAGCCTAGCAGTTCTGATTCTGGGAAATTTGTGAATTTTTTCTGGAAAGGAATCCCATTTATATTGTCACTAGTCTGTCTATCCTGAACTCACTCTGTAGACCAGGCTAGCCTTGAACTCAGAGATCCACCTGTCTCTGCCTCTCGAGTGCTGGGATTAGAGGCTTGTACTACACACCCGGCTTTGGATGACAATTATTGATTAGACACTAGAAAATTAAGTATGATCTTGCTGGGAAGAGAGACATGCGCTTGTGAAGATGATGAAGATGCATAGGCTCATGTTGCATTAGAAAGCTATGACAGTTGAAGAAAGACCAGATCCATCGAAGACTGGGTGTTTGAGAGTCCTTCTGCACTTGAATTCAACACCGATGATGTGGGGTGCTGGGGGAATGAAACAGATGAAGGGAATTTAGGCATGAATGAGGTGGGCGAAGTCCAGGCAGTACCAAAGCTTCAGCTAGGAAAGCTGAAGCAACCCTTGCCATCTATAAGTGTAGGAGCCCAGCACAGAACGGTAGTCCTGGGATCCAGTAAGAGCCAGAGCTGGGGAGCTGGGCTGGCCAGCAGAGCACACAGCCAGTGTGGAGCCAGGACCAGGCAGGGGTGAGGCGGTAACACCAAGACCTTGCTCTCTTTCCGTCTGCTGATTGTCTGGCAATCTCTCCCATTGGCTAAACCCTACATGCTGAGCAAGGAGGGAGTCTGGAGCACTGGACAGATGGGAAAAGTGGAGGTAGGCCAGGGTGGAGGAGGAAATATGGGGTGAATCTAACACACCAGGTCAAATAGACTCAGCCTAATAAGACAGGCAAAATAAAACAAAATTAGCAGAAAGACCAACTTTTTAGTTGAGTTGGTTTTTTATTTTGTTTTGAGACAAAGTCTCCCTATGAGATCCTGGTTGCTCTCGAAGACATGACCTGCTTACCAGTGACTCTGGCCTGCTGGGATTACCAGTGTACACCATCTGATAAGATTATTTCTTCTCTCTGTTTCTCTCTCTCTCTCTCTCTCTCTCTCTCTCTCTCTCTCCACTTTCTTTCTCTTGTAAACAAGTGTGAGTACAAAGAACCTCAAAAAGAAAACAAAACTGAGAAGGATTGATCATAAAAGCTGATTCCTACCTCTCTCTCCCCAGATCTCATCTGGCCAGTGACATTTATGATTGTGATACCAGTAACACATAAGAAACATGCGTGTGGTGAGCCTGTGTGGGTGCTTGCTCAGATAATTCAGATCGGGCTCACCCTGACAACAGTTCTGCAGAGAAGAAGCTCTTGTCGCTTAATTGTCAACAGCACTGTCGTGAGGGGCTTGCTACTCAGTGTGCAGGGTCCCTAAAAGCTGAGCCTCCCCGGCTTGGACAGTGTGTGTGAGGCTTTGAGAGGAGGTGGGCTTCCTGCATTGTCTTGAGAAGTCTCAGACATCAGAAAATAACGAGTCCCCTTTATCTAATTTACTACCAGGGCGACAGGACAAGATGACAATGGTAATAGCATTTTTAGCTACCCCATGCCCTGGCTCTGTTAGCAGTCCGTCCTCAGTGACAGTGGAATGTGTTAATAGGCTCCAACAGACGGATCCAGACAAGGAGACTACAGAAAGTAATAGTTTTCCTTTGGAGGTTTTTGGAATTCTTTGCAAATTCTGACTATGGACTATTTTTCCTGGGGGCTATTTGTGCTGGTAAAATATCTTATTTGGTTAAAGGCAAACCATAAGATAGCATCAAGAACAAATAACATAAAGGGCACACACATCCAACTCCGTCCAGGGGCTGAGGAACTGCAGATGGGGGCAGGGGTTCAACTGAGGGCCGGAGTCACTTGATATAGGGGAAAATGTTTGTTGTTCTTAAGCTCTTCAAGACCAAAGAAGCACTTGACCCAGAACCTTTAAGTGAGTAAACCATTCTTTGAGCTGTTTTCTTTGGAGGAGGTGGCTGGAAGAGGTTTGTGAGGCCCCCGTTGCCAGAGGACTGGTTGTTCGTTAACCCTTTCATGGCACTTGCAAGCTGTGCTTAAACCAATGTGATGGTGTCCTTATGAAACCCTACCTCGTTTCCTCTTCCCCTTCTACATAAAGCACAGCACATGCCAAGTTACTGGAACTCTGCACTAGTCCCCCTAGTTTTACAGTGGGGTTCAGGGGTTCCCAAAGCAGCATAGACATTCATGCTACATGAGAAAACATTTTTTTCTGACATTTGTTAGATAAGAGTGAGGACCATTCACCACCGTGGCAGATGATCGAGTCATGAGAAGGTGTCAGGCTTTGGCGATATGCGATTTAAGTTCACAGTGGCCTGGCTGGACAAGAACAATGAACTGATACCACAGTTGCGAAAGAGCAAGGCCAGGTTGTTCACGGGGGAGTACGTGCATGGTGCAGCAATCCCAGGCCAGGAGGGGAGCAGGAAAGTGAACAACAGCGGCTCCCACGCTGTCCCTCATGCTCAGAAAATGCTTTTTAAGTCACAGCACAGGCTTGAACACTTGCTTCCTTCAGAGATAATAGATGCACATTAAAAATCCAAATTTCCAGTCAGGCTTTCCTGGTGACCAATGACAAGTCTGCTGGAGTTGCTGGGTGGCCAGAGGGTTAGACAAAGCTGGGAGGCCTCAAGCGGTAGAAACCAGGTGACAGTGGAGTAAATATGGACTTGGTTCACCCACGGATTGTTACTAGCACTGTCTCTGGATAAAACGTGCCCCGTTTTGGTCTGAAAGGGGAGAGAGTTGTGATGCTCCCTGGGCTCCCAGGAAGAAGAAACGAAGCGTGTATTTGAAAGAGCTTGTCACAAAGAGATGCTAAGTGTGAGGGGGTCCTTGTTCCTTTTCTTCTTCACCTCTAAGTCTAGTCCTTTTTTCCTTCTATAAAAGCAAGGGAGAACCCAGGGTGCATAAACCAGGGCCCCCAAAGCCAGTCTGATAATTCCTTCTTGAAGCAGTGGTCTCTTGATTGGGGAAGGACGTAGAATCCCCAAAGTGGGAAGAAGATGCCCTGAAGATGATGAAGACCCCAGAACAGAGCACCAGAGAGAAGAAAGGTTAAAAGATTCATCCGCTTCCTTCACAGCTGGGAAAGAGTGTCTCTGCAGAGGCCCCTGGCTCCTCCTATCCCTCACAGGGGCTGAGTTACTGTGTGGGTATGCACATTCAGTCTGAGAGAAGATACGAACTTGTCATTGCTTATTGTCTCTTTCAGCTCAGGGGCTGGAGAGATGGCTCTGCAGTTAAGAGAAGCAATTGCTTTTCCATGTGACAGGGATTTGATTTCCAGCACCCACATGGTGGCTAACAATCATCTGTAACTCCAGTTCCAGAGGATTTGCTCCCTCTTCTGGACTCTGCAGGTACTGTATGAACGTGGTGCACAGACACACATGCAGTCAAAATACCCATGAATGTAAAAAAAAAAAAGGAAAAATTCTAATGTTCTAAATCTTCACAAAGGTTTAAAGAAAATATGTAAGATTAGTTACCTCATTGTTATTGTGATTTATGAGCATGTGTGTTTGCATCTGTGAAGGTGTACATATGCACACGTGTGTCTGCATGTATAGGCGAGCATGTATGTGTGTTTGCATCTGTGAAGGTGTACATATGCACACGTGTGCCTGTGTGTGCAGGTAAACATGTATGTGTGTTTGTATTCATGAAGGCGTACACATGCACACATGTGTCTGCATGTATAGGTGAGCATGTATGTGTGTTTGCATCTGTGAAGGTGTACATATGCACATGTGTGTCTGCATGTATAGGCGAGCATGTGTGTGTGTTTGCATTTGTGAAGGTGTACATATGCACACGTGTGCCTGCTTGTGCAGGTCCAATATTGATGTTAAGTCTTCCTCAGTTGCTCTCCACCATATTCGCTGAGGAAGGGTCTGTCAGTTCAGCCTGTTATCATTGCCTGGATACCCTGTCTCTCGCTTTCAATAGCTGGCATTACTGATGGGCTACCATGCCTCTCTGGCTGGCATTTATGTGGGATATGGGCATTCGAGCTTTGATCTTCACGTTTGTTGCCTATGCAGCAAGTGATTTCCCTGGGGAGCCATCTTCCCAGCCCTCTTCCTCATTATTATTCTTTTAAGAATGCTTAGAGGGGAGGGATCAGCGTAGTATACGCGGGGTACTAAAAAAGAGAAGAAAGAGCTTGAGAATCACATAACCCCTGCCCTGACTGACTGAGGGAAGTGAGGCCAAGTGTGTTACCAGTCCCTCAGAACCCTGGGATCTCCAAGCGTATGGTGGGAGAGAACTCCACCTGCTTTAGAGCGTGGCTGTAAGTGCAGGCCAGCACTGACGGAGCACTGACGGGTAGCAGCTAGCATGGCAGACAGGCATTGCTCTCACAGTGCCACACAAAGGCACCCAAGGACTCCTTTTCTGCAAGCATTTGTTGCGAGTTTGTCTCTTCCCTTGATAATAAGAAGGGCTGAGAACACAGACGTGAACTGTTGCCCGGCATCTTCCAGTAAGCCCTCAGCCCAGTCATCTCTCACGGTGCTGAGAAAACCCCGAGAACACTTTCATTAGTTACAGTAAGAATGCAGTAAGGACAGGGAGACATTCCTTGTTTCCACTCCTAGAATTTGTTGTTTCTCTTCTGCGATAGGAAAAGAACAATTTGTATCATAAGAGATGTAGACTCGGGCTCCAACAGTGCTTCTTTGTCCCCCTTTCTGGTTTCGACCAGTTTCAGCCTTTATTCATCTCAGAGATCAGGGATGTGCTTTGTGGGTCTGTGGAATTCTTACGGATTAGCAGAAGACACACAGTTTGGGCTTAAAGGACTTGCTTATTTCTCTGCGCTGAGTAGCATGGCATAGCTTAGAATAACAGAGGTCATTTTGAGTGTTCTCCAAGAATGATTTCGGATCCCTGGACATCTTGGAGGAAAACCAGTCTAAGCAAATGCTACAAAAGCAAACTGAGCAGAGTTCTGCATTTGCGCTGTACCCCAACACCGGGAGAACCTGGTTCTCTGGGCCTCTGGATAGTCACTCGCTTGTGAAATGAGAGGACAGGACTTGGGGACTTCTGAGATGCTGCCATCTGGAAAATTCCTGACTTAAGCTCAAAAAGGTCTGAATTTATTTACCAGTAAGTCCACAAAATAAGTATTTTCTAGCTACACTGTAGAAAAAAGTCAGTGGGACTGAGAGCCGCCCCTTAGTATATTCACCATCAAGACTGACATTTTTACTGTCACCAGGTCCTGGGTGGAATCTGAAGGTGTCCCTTCCTCCAAGCTTGCCCTTCTGTCCCCCAGACTACACTAGCCAGACTGTGTGCCTCTCAGAGGGGACTTGAAGCTGTCGCTCCGCTGCTCCCAGACCCCAGCAGGACTCCCTTTTCAGGGATAGATGTTGGAGTGTGATTATAAGTTTTTGCCCTAATTTTACACCGAGGCAATTTCAGCCCTTCCCTTTCACCCACTCTTCCTGGCTTCCTTTACCAGTCTGTCTATTTCTGCGCATGGCTGCTGCTCTTAGCAGAATTGAGCTCTTTCTACACAGTCTTTGGATCCAATACTCCTGGCTTTGGGTTCTGATTCTACCATTGGCACAGCACTTAACAGTGAGCCACTGGCCCTCTCCGGGTGCGAGGCTTTCATCCTGCAGGCCCAGGTGTGACTGTTCTCTGCCTGAGGTCATTGTGATGCTGTGGTGAGATACTGCACATAGCCTTTAGCATGGAGGTAGGCATGTTGAGAGAGCACACCACATCTAACATGTTACTGCTATGTGTAGAGACTGGGGTCTCAGCACGTGCCTGTGAGACCGGAAACAAGTTAAGAATCCAAAGACTTACTCAAAGCATTCCCAACTAAAAAAAGACATTTTCCTGAAGACGTGTCTTAGCCTGTTCCCGGCGTGGAATGAACTCACCCCTGACCAGCCGTGGGGCAAGAACTGGCCCTCAGCCCAGTATTTGCCATTAACGAAGAAGAAGCCTGCGATCATGATGAACACCCACACTGCCAGGTTCAGTACGTTGAGGACGTTGTTGAAGCCCACAGAATTCTTCACCCCCAGAGCCACGATGACGGTCACGATGACAGCAATCACCAGAGCCAGAAGGTCTGGGTAGGACTCCTCTCCTTTCCCTACAGGACGAAACATGGTTAGCATTGTCTGAAGAGAAGAAAGGGCCCTGTGACTCAGTCTACCTCATTGCATCTGTCTTGCTATTACGACTGGTAGAGCAGCGACTAGTGTTTCAAAAAGAGCAGCAAAGGCTCTCTGTCTGTCTGTCTGCCGTCAGTGAGTTATCTGTCTCTTTCACTGTATGGTCCATGAGCAGGTATGAGTGTTTATTTGCAAATGAGGAAGTTTGGGACACAGATAAGGTTATGTGACACCATAGATCAAAATTTGGAGCATGTAATGAGACAGCTGCAAAGTACCTGTGGAAGTGAGCATCTTGGACATTTGTAGCACACAAATAGGTCTGACACAATCTCTGAAAGCTTCTTTCTCTTTATTATTGTTAGCCTGCAATCTGCAAGGTTTCTATCCCATGTCACAATCTTTCTTTATTAGCAAGTTTCAAAATGAGCACTTTAGAAAGCCATTTTAAGAGTTTTTCTTCTCTCTCTCATTTGTTTTGTGTGTGTGCGTGCGTGTGTGTGTGTGTGTGTGTGTGTGTGTGGTCACAGAGAGCAAATGTCCAGTGAGCACGTCCTGCTGGCTCGGTCTGTCCGCTAGCCAGTGGACGCCTGCCCTCTACGGAGAGGAAGAAGCACTGCCTTAGCAGTCAGGGAGGAAGCCTGGGTTCCAGCTGTACTCCTGCCAACAGCCCACAGTGCGGCCTTGGGCACATCGCCTCATCTCTCTGGACTTCATCTGCAGAGGGAGTGAGACGGAAGACCGATTTTGGGGTCATTTCAAATTTAAAATGTTATGAAATCAGAATACAGCCCTGATCTTTCTCCTTATTATCATGGCATTGGGGGTGATCGGCAATGCAAAAAGAAGGCTTATTTTTATTATCTGTAATTTGTGTGTCTCTCTGTGTGTGCCCGTGGACAAGTCTGTGCACATGAGAGCAGGTACCTGCAGAGGCCATAGGCCTCGGATGACCTGGAGCTGGAGCTCTAGGAGGCTGTGAGCCACCTGACGTGGATGCTGGGGCTAAGCTCATGGCCTCAGGAAACAGCCAGTGCTCTTAGCCACCGAGTCATCTCTTCAGCCCCGGTCAGCATTTTTGTCAAATCTTTTCTGAGGTAAGCACACTGAAGACAGGTGGTTTGACATAGCTTCAGATTTTCTTTTGGGGTCGCCTCCCCCTCCCACTCCCCTTCTCTCTCTCTCTCTCCTTCCCTTCCTCTTCTTCCTCTCCCCCTTCATCCCCACCATGGGTACATGCACTCTGGGGTTTGAACTCAAGGTCTCAAATGCTCCACGTAAGCACGGTAGCACTGAGCTCCAGCCCCAGCTGTCCTGGGAAATTTTGGGGCAAGACTCCAAAGCCTCCCCAGCTCTGAATCCTGTGAATATGGGCGGATACCCCAGGCATTAGGGTGGAGAGCTGGTGGCAAGTGACAGATGGTCTGCCTCTTGGCATTGGTCAGATGATCTCTGACCCACTCAGCTCTTGCTCAGTAATAAGATGCCTTGTGGGTGTTGGTTGTACTGGAATCCATTTTTTACTTAATTTTTTTTATTTAGAGTTGGGCAGTGGCGGCACACGCCTTTAACCCCAGCACTCGGGAGGCAGAGGCAGGCAGATCTCTCTGAGTCTGAGGCCAGCCTGGTCTACAAAGTGAGTTCCAGGACACCAGGGATGTTACACAGAGAAACCTTGTCTCAACTCCACCTCCAAAAAATTATTTGGATGTGAAAACATTTATTTAGGAAAAGTGGGAGAAACTTTGCAATGAGATTGCTGGTGGAGTTCCCCAGTCCCTTTGGTTGCATGAGTTTATCTTCGTATAGTTACTGGCAGGACACATGCACAGTACAGTCTGTGTCTTTGATAGGTGACATTACATTGCATATTAATACACAGTCTATGTGAAATCCTCCCCAGTCATCCTTTTAGCTGCCAGGCACATAATATGTACCCACAACTCACCCATCTGTCCCAGTGAAGAATTTTTAAAAATTATTATAATTGAGCCCCCATAACCTAAAAGTCTAAAATTTGAGATGCTATCGAATCTGAAAAATTTTGAGTGCTTTCCACAGTGCCCCAAGTAATAAGATTTACTCATACAATGAAGCTTTACATAACATATTTAATAATATCTCTTCAGGCTATGTATTTAAGAGGCGTATGAAAAACCAATAAATTTTGTGTTAGACCTGGGTGTCAATGATCAGTCCCAGCATCTTATTTTGTCGACATAAATATTCCAAAGTTTGAAAAATCCCAACGTCAAAAAACTACTGGTCCCAAGCATCTCAGATAAGGGCTGTGTATGCTTTAAAAAGAAGGCTGGGATGAGAAGCTTATGTATAATGTATTCTTAGAATAATTCCTTAGAGTGAAGAATTGCCTTGTAAAAACAAAAAGAAGTATTTAAAGTTCTTGATACATTTTTCCAAATCAGGATGTGTGTTCTGGGGATACCACACTGGGGTCCTTAGCTTTCCTGGGAGATATTGTACCCACTGAGCCATCTTCCCAGCCTCCAAGTTGTGTTCTTTTTTTTTTTTTTTTTGGTTTTTCGAGACAGGGTTTCTCTGTAGCTTTTGGTGCCTGTCCCGGAACTAGCTCTTATAGACCAGGCTGGCCTCAAACTCCCAGAGATCCGCCTGCCTCTGCCTCCCGAGTGCTGGGATTAACACGGCTTCAAGTTATGTTCTTAAAGGGGAATCTATCCATCTTGCTCATGACTTTGCATGTTAGGAGAGAGGTTGACGCGGTCTCACCCAGGCCATTGAGGGTGCCCACTGTATCCACCATCCAGCGGCTGATGGTATGGTTTGCTAGGGAGTCAAACATGCTGCTCAGGGCACTGGCGCCAGCTGCCGTGCCAATCAGGTACTCCAGGATCAAGTTCCAGCCAATGAAAAATGCCACAAATTCCCCAACAGTGACATAGCTGTAGGTGTAGGCAGATCCCGTAGTCTTGGGGACTCGAACTCCAAACTCCGCATAGCACACACCTGCAAGGGACAAACAGAACAAGCAGTGGGCTCCTGGAGATCAGCTAACATCTTGGTGCCTGTCACTGACTGAAACATTGTTACAAGGCAAACGGCTGTATGTGACACAATTAAGCCTATTACAGACATTTCCAACCTTACCTCCCAGAAACATAGCTTGGTTGTTTGTTTCTTTGGACCTTCTGAGACAGGGGTGTCATTGTGTTCAGAGATTGGTTCTGTTGCTGTGATGAAACACTGACCAGAAGTCTCATGGGGAGAAAGGCTTGCACTTCCGGGTCACAATCTATTTTTTTTTTTAAGACAGGGTTTCTTTGTGTAGCCCTGGCTATTCTTGAACTCACTCTGTAGACCAGACTGGCCTCGAACTCAGAGATCCATGTGCCTCTGCCTCCTGAGTGCTGGGATTACAGGTGTGTGCCTCCATGCCTGGTTCACAATCTGTTTTTAAGAGAAGTCAGGAAAGAACTAAAGGCAGAAGCCTTGAGGCAGGAACCATGGAGCACACGCTTCCTGGCTTGCTCTCTCTGGCTCATGTTTTGTGGCCTTCTTTTACATCCCAGGACCACCTGTCCAGCTGTAGCATTGCCCACAATGAGTCTGACCTCCTCACGTCAATCAAGAAATTCTCTGGTGGACAGTCTGCTCTGGGCAGTCACTCAACTGAGACTCCTGCTTCCCAGGCGACTCTCTGTTGATTAGAGCTGACAAAAGCTAGCGAGGGTAGGTAGCCTTAGCCAGCCTTTGACTCCCTCTGTGGACCAGGCTATCCTTTGACTTCTGATAATCCTACCACCTCTTCCTCCCAGGGGCTGGGATTATAGATACGCCTCACCATGTTTGACTTCCAAACACTTTAACCACCGTACTTGGGAAGGCAATCAGCACAAGCTTCCTACTATTGAGAATGATCTTTCTTTAGGAAAACCCAGTGATTTATCACAGCAATAGAAACCTTAACTAAGACAGGTATGAATTGCATCATTTTTACTGTGTACATAAAATTTTCTGCTTTTACAGAAACAATAGTTTAATTACAGAAAATAAAAATTTAAAGTATTTTATAACTCTCATTTCTCAGTATCTAAATATCAAATTAGTATAACTTTGAGTTGTAATGTGCTAGAATGTTTGATTTTGCAAATTGCTTCTGAGTTGGTGGCCAGTTCATAAAAAATTGTTAAATGAATTTTCATTGGAAATCACCAGAATTTCTGAAACAGTCTTAAAGCTTTGTGTGTGTGTGTGTGAGTGTGCGTATGTGTGTGTGTGTGTATGTGTGTATATGTGTGTGTGTGTGTGTGCGTATGTGTGTGTATGTGTGCGTGTGTGTGTATGTGGGTGTATGTGGGTGTGTATGTGTGTGTATTTGTAGGCCAGAGCACACCTTTCAGGAGTCAGTTCTCTTCTTCCTCCGTTTGGCTCCAGGGGCTTGAACTCAGGTTGTGGGGCGAGGCGGCACGTGCCTTTACTCACTGAGTCCATGAATGCAAATGGTTAATGAAGGAATTTCTAGCTCTTCAGTCTTAGGACCTGCAGGGCTGCACTTGGGATGAGCTGAGGGATGATCCAGTGATTCTTCACCTCGCCATCCATTTCCTGCTTGCTGTTCATTATCCTCCAAGCCCCAGCCACAAGAGGGAGTCAGCTCTGGACCACACTAGTGATTCGTCACTGAACCACAGGCATGTCTTTGAGAATGTCCTCACCAAATATGGCATTTTGCTGCATGGATATCACCTGTCTTTTAGTTTTCATGGAACATCTGTTTCTTTGGTACATTTCCGGTGGGGCTAAGACGGACTGCATATATTACCAGGTGACTAGTCTTTTTGAAATGTACCTGGTACTGGGACATGAGAAGTTACCTAACTTTCGAGGGAAATAGTACGATTCGTGTTGGAATCATTTATTTTCTTCATGTCATGTGATGAATTGTCTCCATCTTAGTTGGCTCTTTTGAGAAGCAGGTTTCTGGATCCCAAGAAATACTTTTCTAGCCTCAAATTGAAGGGGCTAGACTTAGTGAACTTGTCATCATGCCCTCTTCCCAATGCTATTAGGTAGCCAAGAAAATTTTGGGTTTTCTTTCAGGGCGTGATGTATCCGGCTGCATCTCCCTCCTACCTCACCACCACCATCTCTTACCTGAGCAACCTTGGTCACCCCGTTGCCTGTCACAGAAACCCAGGCAATTTTTACAAATGTGTCTGGAAGAAAAGCAATTTGTCTGGGATGCCTCTGTTTCTTTGTGTCAAAGAAGAGACTTATGATTTTTCTGCCAAATCAGTTCGGGGACGGCTAGTACCATCAGTCAGAGAGAGCCTGACACCATCAGTCATTAAACCTGACAGTACTCCAATTAAAGTTGTGTAGGTAACAAAGTTCCCCAAAGTCCCCCAAGCCATGGTACCAATGTATCTATATTTAAATAAGAAGAAAGCAAGCTACCCTAATAGAGAATTGACTCCCAAACCAGGTCGAGTTTAATAATTGGATCACTAAGTGCATGAATAGCCCGCTTACTCTTTTTTTCTTGAAATCTCCATCTGTGAAAATATTTTGGAGCTTACTGGAGGTATAGTTTCCTTCACTTGATGCGTTAAAGCTTTTCTTGTGGCTAGCTTGTGCTATGGTTAGTAATCATGGCTCAAGCTATGCTCACTATTGGACATGGTAGTTTGTACTTTTAGTCCCATTAGTGGGGAGGTGGAGACAAGAGGATTCCTGGAACTCACTGGCCAGCCAGCCTTGCCTGCTCAGTGAGTTCCAGATCAGCAAGAGTCCCAATCTCAAAAGGAAAATAAAAAAAAGATAGATGGAGCCTGGAAATGCTACTGGAGTTGCCCTGTGACCTCTATGGGTGTGTGCAGACGTGTACTATGCACACACAAACACACAGATGTGCACTGTACACACACAAACACACAGATGTGCACTGTACACACACAAACACACAGATGTGCACTGTACACACACAAACACACAGATGTGCACTGTACACACACAAACACACATATGTGAACTGCACACACACAAACACACAGATGTGCACTGCACACACACAAACACACAGATGTGCACTGTACACACACAAACACACATATGTGAACTGCACACACACAAACACACAGATGTGCACTTGTACATACACAAATGCACAGATGGGCACTGAACAAACACAAACGCACAGATGTGCACTGCACACACACAAACACACAGATGTGCACTGAACACACACAAACACACAGATGTGCACTTGTACACACACAAATGCACAGATGTGCACTTGTACATACACAAATGCACAGATGGGCACTGCACAAACACAAACACACAGATGTGCACTGTACACACACAAACACACAGATGTGCACTGCACACACAAATACACAGATGTGCACTGCACACACACAAACACACAGATGTGCACTGCACACACACAAACACACAGATGTGCACTGTACACACACAAACACACAGATGTGCACTGCACAAACACAAACACACAGATGTACACTGTACACACACAAACACACATATGTGTACTGCACACACACAAACACACAGATGTGCACTGTACACACAAACACACAGATGTGCACTGCACACACACAAACACACAGATGTGCACTGCACACACACAAACACACAGATGTGCACTGTACACACACAAACACACAGATGTGCACTTGTACATACACAAACGCACAGATGTGCACTTGTACATACACAAATGCACAGATGGGCACTGCACAAACACAAACACACAGATGTGCACTGTACACACACAAACACACAGATGTGCACTGCACACACAAATACACAGATGTGCACTGCACACACAAACACACAGATGTGCACTGCACACACACAAACACACAGATGTGCACTGTACACACACAAACACACAGATGTACACTGTACACACACAAACACACAGATGTGCACTGTACACACACAAACACACAGATGTGCACTGTACACACACAAACACACATATGTGCACTGCACAAACACAAACACACAGATGTACACTGTACAGACACAAACACACATATGTGAACTGCACACACACAAAACGCACAGATGTGCACTTGTACACACACAAACGCACAGATGTACACTTGTACACACACAAACGCACAGATGTACACTTGTACACACACAAACGCACAGATGTGCACTTGTACACACACAAACGCACAGATGTGCACTTGTACACACACAAACGCACAGATGTGCACTTGTACATACACAAACGCACAGATGTGCACTTGTACATACACAAACGCACAGATGTGCACTTGTACATACACAAACGCACAGATGTGCACTTGTACCTACACAAACGCACAGATGTACACTGTACACACACAAACACACATATGTGAACTGCACACACACAAACGCACAGATGTACACTTGTACATACACAAACTCACAGATGTACACTTGTACATACACAAACGCACAGATGTGCACTTGTACATACACAAACGCACAGATGTACACTTGTACATACACAAACGCACAGATGTGCACTTGTACATACACAAACGCACAGATGTACACTTGTACATACACAAACGCACAGATGTGCACTTGTACATACACAAACGCACAGATGTGCACTTGTACATACACAAATGCACAGATGTGCACTTGTACATACACAAACGCACAGATGTACACTGTACACACACAAATGCCTACACACACGTTCTCACATATACACATAAAATAACAAGTTATAAACTGGATCATTTAAGATCCATGTCTCAAGATATATGAGTATGGTCAATGTTTTTCAGTGAATGTATTCTAAAACAGAAAGAGTGAATAGCTTTAGGACAGATTTTTGCATGTGCATGAATGTTACAGGTCCCCGGACCTCAGCACAACTGACACCTTGGTAGAAACCCTCAGGCCTTGGAACCCAGCACATAGACAGCAATGCCCGGCAAAACAGGAACAAAGACAGACCCAATCCACCTGCC